AAGCGTCTGCCAAACGCATAAATGTAAATGTACATTAAAGTCACAATGATGTGGAAGTAGCAACATCTTTTCTTCTATGTTGTGATGTAAATTATAGTGAAAAGGATTTTCATGCCGACTGTATCAAGTCGGAATCAGCCAAAACAGTATAGCTTCAAATAATCAAGGATCACTGGTGATAAGACAAAAAATATATATATATTAGAGATCGACCGATATATCGATTTACCGATATTTTTCCATAATCGGATATCAGTTTTGTAATATCGGATTCACAGATAAACGGCGCCATCTTGTGGGCGTTTTGAGAATTGCGCGCAGGACAGCCATTGCAGCGCGTCTGAGGGGAGACGAGACAACAACAACGGTGTGCAGGTACTTGATATATATTATACTTATTTTACATAGGAAATGACGTCAAAGACTGTTGCCAGGTTGTTGCTAAGATATTCAAAGTGCACATGTTGATAGGTTGCTAGAGTATTACACATCAAAGTATGAGCAATGGCAAAAATGAATCTGCCAACTATCTGCTGGCATTGCCTAAGTCATGTTGCAACTTAATGTCATCTCAAAAACATATTAACACTACTAACTGAGATACTTCTCACATGATAACAGTCTCAAAAGAGTGGAAACCTACAGTTCAAGCATGCATGACATTCTCCTCTCTCAGAAACAAATCTGACATTTACGTGATTTTGTTTTTGCCAGGTGCAAGCTAACGACTCAACCAGCCAAACATTCGGGACACTTTCATTGCAAAATATTTGCATAAGTGCATATGCACGGCCTGGCCCGGATTCTGCCATCCAGACAATAAAAAAAAAAGCAAAAACAAGTTATGTGCTACAGGCTGCACTACACAATCAGTCTCACATCCACCTACACGCTGCAGTGCTGTCTGCTGTGGAGAAAACATCAAAGCAGCCCATTAACACTGATATCGCAACGCTCTTATCTGTCTGCCTTACCTCAGTGTAAATACCCTCATGAAAATAACATGGGCAGAGGCAAACCGCAAAGAAGAATACTCCTCTTCAACCATCTCATCCACTGACTGGAGCAGTGGCATTTCGTAACTACCTCTTTTCTGAGAAGTTTATTTGTGGCCGATACGCATCTTATATAAAAAAAAATAAAGGGCACGGTGAGACTGTAGCGCTTTTAGGTGATCAACAGAAGTGATAACATTTAGCAAGCTAATTGGACACATGCATCACTGTAAAACTGACACATTGATTGAATGTTCCTTGAGGTAGGGGAAAGTTTGGCCAGTCTGATGTAGCCATGACAATCCATTTGACATCAAGTAAATATCAAATAGAGGCCAATAAACCTCAAGAGAGAGAGATCTACCAAGTACCTGTAACTGTGGAACAGAAATAAATGCCCTTTAAACTAAAAGACCTTTCACATAAGGACTTTACCGCACTTTTGACGTGATAGCAAACAAGGTTGCTAGTACACAAGAAAACAGAAAGTGTGCAAAATTATTGGTAAAAATAGCAACTGCAAACACAGTGATATTACTTTAGTTTGATATAACTTTAAGCATGATGTCACAACACAGTGTCAAGGTCATGTGAAAGGCCATTTAGAACAACATTTTTATCGACTAGGAGCCACTTGTTCCCATAAAACCCTAATAAATGGTTCATGGCTCCTTGTGGGGATCAATCCAGCATCCTTCTGGTTACCTACTGCATGCACATCTAAATAAAGAGGCCAACTGGCGAATGTACTCACTGAACTCTTGTGAGCACTCTGCTCAGTCTGCAGCGTGAATACTGACAGGTCTCCGTTCAGAATGACATCAGCCAGAGAGTGGACAAGCGGCTGGTAGTGGATGATTAGAAACACCTAGAGACAGCAGGACATCATATGTTTTCACCTGACCACAGCTCACACCGTGTGTATGGTGGCTATTCTACTCACTGCAAGTTTCAACAAAACTGAAGCACTGTACCTGTGACAGGAGGTAGAGAGACACCTGAGGGTTGATCTTGCGCTCTTCAGACTGAAAAAAAAAAAGATTGTTATCATGTGGGATGAAAACTAGATTTCATCTAGAGTTACTTAGGGTGAAAATTACATAATTTTCACAACCATGCTTGGATTTTATGCTATTATATGCATACACTACCATTCAAAAGTTTGGGGTCAGTAATATATATATATATATAAAAATATATATAAATTGATCAAAAGTGACAGTAAAGACATTTGTAATGTTACAAAAGATATCTATTTCAAATAAATGCAGTTCCTTTGAACTTTCTATGTATCAAAGAATCCTGAAAACATAGTTTCCATAAATTCAGCTTTGCATCACAATAATAAATTACATTTTATGAAAGATAGTATTACTGTGTGAAAAGATAATCACTATGCTGACAGAGAGAAAAAATTAGTAACAACGCTCGAATTTGAAATCAAAATAATGGTGGTAAACAGCCGCGGATCATAGCGCACTGAGCACACTAAATAAAGCACACTGAGCCCGTGCTGCTTCTGCACCGCACACAGACTGCACTGCAAACGGATCCTCGCTTCATTTCGTTCACTCTTTGCTGTTATACAGCACTCAACTGCCATGCACTATATAGGGATTTGAGAATCAGTGAAGACATCAGCGATTCCAGTGCTGGAGTCGACTCCGACTCTAGGGCTATTCAGAGTCGAGGAATCGAATAAGTTTATTTTTCTATTCAACATACTTTGGAAGCCATTATACATGGTTTAAAAAGAGTCATAAATGCACAACAGTAAGAAAGAGAGTAAGAAAAAGAATAACTCAAGTCAGTATAGTGAATTTTCATTGAAATGGTTTTGCAATAAAGTAGCATATAGATTTTATTCCCTCAGCTCCAATGGTTATGCAAAGTTAGCCTGGAATAAACACTCCTACTAGAGATATGCTAGTTGTTTTTTAGACATGTGCAGTTGTGTCCTCACCTGCTCTTGACTGACCAGAGAGTACACGTATAGGGGAAGGAAGAGGCGGTTGAGCAGGTGGTCGGTCAGCACGTCATTGAGAAACTCACAGTTGATGATGAGGATGTCGTTCAGATAGTGAAGATGGTCCAGGTGCTCAGCTACCAGATCGCTGAGTTTTCCTCTGTTTTTATGTCTGATGAGAATGGGTGTAGATGGAAAAAAGTGCAATATGTTAATCATAAAAAATCATGAGCCAGGCTATTCTGTGAATTCAGATTTTCAGTGCTCAAATGTGGTCTGTAGTGACACCTAGTGGTGCAGAGGTGAACCGCACATATAAAGGAGTCACGAAAACCTTACTCTTCATCAGTCTGCACACACTTGTCCAGCTCGATGACATGGCTGCCTATGAACCAGACCAAATTGGAGAAGTACGGCACGGCTGTTTTGTCCCGAATGTAGTGTAGCATGTGCTGGTTGTCCACTGCGGAGCAGGACCCAAATGAAACGTGGTTACTTACAAACAGGCAGAGAGACAGGAAACAGCCACAGTGACATGGGTAAAGAACTGTTAGGTTTATTGTAACTAATAACACAACAGCGCCAGACTTACTGATGGCAAGTGGTCTTTAAAAAGCAATAGGGGTTAATTACAGAGCAATGTGCAATGTGATTGGTCAGATGTTGGAGGGTTATGTTAAATGACATTCCCTAAGCAGAGTCGCTAAACGAAGCTAGGCTGCACTATATTTGGTCCTAAGCAATAAACAAGTCCTTTACTAAGCATGCTGAGAGTATTAGATGCTGTGAAATGTATCTAAACTTATAAAGGCTCACTATGTAATAAATAGTAGCTAATAAATAGGGGTCTAACTGGTAAAAAGTCAAAAGACCTTTGCATGCGTCACTAATAAACTGAATATGAACAAAAAATGGGCCTGTTTATGTTTGTCTTGTCAGGTAAGGAATCATTTGGGAGTTGATGGATGGATTATAACGTAGGTTGATCTGTATCTAGCATTGTAGATATTATAATAATCAATGCTCAATGAACCTCCAGCATCTTTTAAAAAAATAAATTAAATTAAAAAACACACATACAACTGATACTGCCAAAAATCAAGCCAAACAAGAGGGTTTAAATAAAGGCACCAATGTGTGACAGTGCAAATGAGTGTATTTGTTAACTACTATCAGTGTGTGAATTGTAAACCTGTGTACGCACAGACAAAAAAAGCAACTGTGAAAAAAAAATAAAAAACAGTTCAAGACAACATGCAATAAGTACAAAGTTCTGAATTTAAGTACAAAGTTCTGAATTTAACCAACTTACATGACACTGGAATAAGGCACACAGGAGTCACCATAGAGGGAGAGGGGAAGAACAGACAAAGGGTTAAACTGATGAAGGGACTGAGCTAGTGGAGCTCTGGGCCCTAGAGGCCAAAAGATGAAACCATCACACCACCTAGTGGCTGGTACTAAACCTGCTCAAAAGAGCATCTGGAACCAAGAACAGCCTAAAAACACCAGACATATCGACCAGATCCATGAAGCTGCCAGGACATGCTAAAAAGCAAAGGATACCACCCAACTACTTTTTCTGACAATCAGGGATTTTAACTACATTTTTGCAGTTAATTCAGTGCATTTATATTGTAATTAGGCATGTGATATGCCATATCAAGAAAGCCACAGATAGTACATTTAAGCAACACTTAAAAATGTATGAATGTTATTGCATTACATGAAATCTTAAAGACACATGGTGCACTGCAGTCATGAAGGTTTCAGTGGACTAAGACGCGAGTTTATGTTATGGGTATTGATCCAGTAAATAAAAATCAGGCTGATATTTAAGACAATAAAGTGATCATGGGTGACCACATTATTTCTATTTGGCTTACATATTATTACAAATAATATAAAATAAAAAAGACGGTTTGGATGTTACTTCAAGATTTTTTAAGACACTTTTTCTTTATTATTTTTATCTTTATTTTAGAAGTTATATTTTCTTTTTAACATTGATAAAAGTAAGTTGGCAGTAAGTAAACAAGATTTGTTTGCGTTTGGGTGAATGTATGTAGCCAAACTGTCTATTGTCTTTATGCTGGAAAGCACTTTAAATGTGCTACAGAAATAAAAATTTCAGTGTTTCCCCTAGGTTTACGGCTTTGAGGGGTTTTTTTTTTTTTCTGGACTCCTTTTTAAAGGTTAAATTACATTTTATTAATCAAAACGCATGTCTAATTAATTAAAATCATGAAACTTAAACAATTTAACATCAATTTATTAAAATTTTAACAAATATTACATGTTTAGCCCCATATGAAATTTTTTTTTTTTTAACCC